AATACATGATAATTCATTAGAAACACCAATTAATCAAATAGTTTGCTTAATTTGACACTAAAATATAAGGAAACCCATCTTTAATTATATGCAATAAGAACATAATGATATGATTATTAATACATGATAATTCATTAGAAACATCAATTAATTAAATAGTTGGCTTAATATGACACTAAAAAATAAGGAAACCCATCTTTAATTATATGCTATAAGAACATAATGATATGATTAAGAATACATGATAATTCATTAGAAACACCAATTAATCAAAAAGTTGGCTTAATTTGACACTAAAAAAATAAGGAAACCCATCTTTAATTATATGCAATAAGAACATAATGATATGATTAAGAATACAAGATAATTCATTAGAAACACCAATTAATCAAATAGTTGGCTTAATTTGACACTAAAAAATAAGGAAACCCATCTTTAATTATATGCTATAAGAACATAATGATATGATTAAGAATACATGATAATTCATTAGAAACACCAATTAATCAAAAAGTTGGCTTAATTTGACACTAAAAAAATAAGGAAACCCATCTTTAATATTCAGGAGAATTAAAACCATAAAGGTTATATTTGTCACTCTCTGTTGATTCTAAATGATTGCTTTCACTGTCTTTCAATAACTCCATGCTTCAATTATTACCCTTATAACAATGTTTTTACTTACAAACCTTACCTTAATCTGTTTATTAACCCTTTTAAAACTACCTGCTGCATAACTATGTTTTCTATACCAGTGAAGGGTTAATTATTCCCCTTTGAAGGCCTCGAGTGCTACAGGCTGTGCGCGTTAGAGGCCCCACGACATAAAGGCCCCACGACAGTTGGAAATTGAAAAACTGTGGGCTAATGCCACTGTCCATCAAAATACCCCCATTGTACACTGCATGGTGTTGTCTGTCTTCATAAGCCCACACAGTACAGAACAGTAGGATGTAAAACTCCAGTGTTCAAAGGGTTAAGGGTATATGATGTTTTATGTTATTTACACTCAGTGTTTAAAGGGTTAAGGGTATATGATGTTTTATGTTATTTACACTCAGTGTTTAAAGGGTTAAGGGTATATGATGTTTTATGTTATTTACACTCAGTG